GGCATCAACTGAATGAAAATCAATGTTTATTCTGAGTTAATTTCAAAATTATACCATGTAAGTGACTAACATTCTCTGTTGGATACAGTTCAAAATGTGCCTAATAATGGACTTCTTCCCAGATTGCTTACAAATTTGTTTAAGCATGAAAAAGCTAAATTTTATTTGGCAAGAATAATGCGCATTTTGCTTTCTACTAATAGAAAGCATCCATTTACTACTATTAGTAAATATGTTTTGTAATTAATTTCTAAACAAATTTTCAAGATTAGATTGCAATGGAAAGGCTTTGATAGTATCTATTGTGAGCCAAAATTTGGAAGTAAAAATAATGAAACCCTTGCTTATAAGGTATAAGAGTATATAATAATGCCAAATAAACTGCAAATCTGTCTAGTTAGAAAATTGGCCGAGGCTTTTTTGTACACAATGAATAACTAGTACTAGTTTGTCAGCTAATAGGAGAAATAGTTTCTGTGTGTATCCCATTGACTACTAAGCCAGTAGAAGGGAACAGATACATGTTTGTGGAACTGAGAAAATTTGGAATACTTATACGCAAGGATCCTTCAGATGGTTACAACAGTCAAACCTCTGTTTACATCTTCAATCATCTGTTCATCATGTATTTTTCGAGCAACTACTGTGTGTACTTTGCTAGTATCTTGAAATAACACAGTAAGTTAAAACCAATGAATTACATTCTAATGAGAAAGACAGGTAATAATCAAATAAGAAGAGTGATGAATATCTAATCATGACCTTAGGGAAACAGGGTTTTATAAAGTATATTATGAAGGTACCTGAACTGATATCAGGGAAGGCTTATCAGAGAAACTGATACTTGAGCTGGGTTGTGAATGATGAGTAGGAGTTGGTTATGTGTAAAAAGCTGAGGATCGGAAGGATAGCAAGTATTACGGGCAAAGGGAACAGCATGAGCATAACCTTGTGATCAAAGAGAGAAATCCAGTGAGGCTGGACTGCAGAGCATCACGGAGTAATAAAGATGAGCCTGGGAAGGATGGCATAAGGGAGATGAAAAGAAGGCCATGTGAAAGGCTGTAGTCTTACTCCTAAAAATGAAAGACAATGACTGGATATAAACTGGAAGGTAGCGCAATCGGATTTGCACATTAAAAAGACCACTCTTTAATCAATGACAGGAGCAGAGAATGATACAAAACCAGTCAGAGTAGAAGGTGAGATGAGGTAGTGGCTTGGGGTAAGATAATGGCTGTGCACACATTCAAGGCATTCCGAATGCAAGTCAATAGGGCTTGGTGATGGGTAGGTGTGGACTTGAAGGAACACACACAAAGGATGACTTGCCCAGATCTGGTGGATGGTGGTGTCATCTGCTGAAATAAGTGACATCAAAGGAGGGCTAGGTCTGGGGATGTATTATACAGGTCTTGGATAAGTTGAAGTGCCTTTGAGAAGTGGAGATACCCAGTGGGAACTAGCTAGATGGATGTGGACCTCAGAGGGAAATCCAAGTCTAAGAATGCAGCAGAAAAAGAGCAATGAGTTTTTGGTGAATATACAGAAGAAATACTTTGTAAAGGAATGACAAGAGAAAAGTAAAAAAAAAAAAATGTAAATTGAAAAAGCTGGAAGCAACCTAGATGCCCATCAGTAAATGAATGGATCAAAAAATTATGGTACATATACACACAATGGAATTCTATGCAGCAGAAAGAAAGAAGGAGCTCCTACCCTTTGCAACAGCTTGGATGGAACTGGAAAGCATTATGCTGAGTGAAATAAGCCAGACGGTGAAAGACAAATACCATATGATCTTACCTCTAACAGGAAGCTAAACAACAAAACAAACAAGCAAGCAAAACAAAAACAGTGACACTGAAACAGAGAACAGGGGGACAGCGACCAGAGGGGAGAGGGGAGGGAATTTCAGGGGAAAAAGGGGAAGGATTTACAGCAACTAGTATAAAGGACACATGGACAACAACTAAGGGGGGTGGAAATGGGAGGGAGGTGGAGGGCATGGGGGGTGCACTAGGACGGGAGTAAAAGACAGAATACTGTAGTTGAAAAATAATTAAATTAAAAAAAGAAAAATACATAACACAGTGAACGTACTTTACAATGTTAATACTGGAAAATAATAATGTGCTTTATAAATAATAGAAATAGTAAGAATTTTGGCTTGGTGAACACGTGGTATCAAATCAAACGAATAGCAGAGTCAAAATTCCTGGTCAACGGAACTAATTAAACCCTGTCTTTTAGGAAGGGGTCATTGAGATCCCCCTTGGGGAGGTATCATGTGTGGAAAGAAGCTGTATAAACCTTCAAGAGGGGGTGGGAGGGAGAAAGCACGTGGAACTTACAAAGCTTCCTCTTATAAAGGTGATCGCAGTAAGTCATTCTCAAGAGTTCCTATCAAAGGACTCATTTTACTCCTTGCCATCTCAAAACCAACACACGCGCCAGCACCAGGCCAGGAAGTTTCACTATAAAAGGACATTTAAGGAAACCAGGCTGAAGCCAAAATCAGGTAGTCATTTTAATGGAGTTACGAGTATTCAAATCGAGACCTTTCTTACTTCACGCATAAGAAAATTTATGCTGACACTTTAACAAGAAATGCAAACCACAAATAAGTTTTGATTTTACTTAGAACAGCAAACATTTGTTTAAAAAGGAAAACAAAAGTAAAAGTTGATCGAGGCCTCCAGTTCTTAGGCATGAATATCTATTTCATGCCTTCAGAAGGTCTACATTTGTTGTTTTTTGGTATTCCATCCAAAATTTCCCTTCCCCTGTTTGAACACCTAACCTCAAGAATCAAAGAATTCTACCCTTTTTTTTTTACACAAACTAAGGAAGAAGTTGGTCTTTTTTATATGTCCCATTTTCCTCAAAATATGAGAAATGAAGTCCTACACCCTGCTTCCCCATTGTGTTTGAAGGCCAAGACATAAATGATTCCATTTCTTCTTGGCTTCAGAAGTTTCACTCTTTCCTGTATTGCAAGAGTGAAATAATATTGAAAAGTAGGTTGTGTGGCATGAGCTACGTGGCAAAGTATAGATTTATGTAATAAATGGAAAGAACTCCCAAATAATCCCTTTTGCATTTGTTGTAAAGTAGACAGGGAGCCTTGTCCAGAATTCATATCTAAGATTTCAGGTCAGAGAGTTCCTGATCTTTGCTGGTTCTAGTACATAACTTTTTTTCCAAATGTTTTTCAAGACAAAACTACTCACTCTTAAACTGGTCCAGTAAAGGAAGGAAGGAAGGAAGAAAGGAAGGAAGGAAGGAAGGAAGGAAGGAAGGAAGGAAGGAAGGAAGGAAGGAAGGAAGGAAGGAGAGGCAGAGAGGGAGGGAAGTAGGAAGGAAGAAAGAAGCACACTAGAGAACTATGTAAAAAAATCATTATCAGTGTTCTCTACAAGAAGTAAACAAAATCAAGCTTGAGAAAGCAAAACTGATATAATGTGCATGCTTGTGTTAGATTTCGCCCACCCTAAGGATGATGTTGAGGACCACTTTTAGGATACTTACCGAGCATCAAGTTGCTTGGGAATAAATGAATAAATTTATGGAAGATACTGACAAGGTATGTCATCCAAATATTTGGTAGATGAGGCCTGGAAGATGGGTTGGCAGCTACCTTCTTTGGACCTCAATTCTACCAGGATACTACTTTTTTCCTGGTACAAAAAGCACTTATCAGGTGCCTGTGCTCGGCATTCAGATGACTTCAGTGTCAAGACAAGATCTAACAGTGATAAAATAAGATACTGATATATCATAACTTAATAAAAATGATCTTGAATGTATATGCTATTTAAAATATTTCAAAAATGAAAGTTCACAATATTGACTCTGAACAGCCATTGGAAAAAAACATTGTGTACATGTTTAACAAGGGCAGTAATATTGCATTGAAAATATTTATTGAAAATTTTGAATGAAGGAGTCCCAGGATAACTCAGCATGGAAAGAGACATCCTGGCATTCAACTTAGTCACACTCAGATCTAAATTCTCAGCAGCAAGCAGGAGACTCAGAAAATGCTGACTTTCATTACAAACTTTATTTGTCAGTACAATTCACAGTTGATACATGGTGCAACTCACCATATGAACTTCCAGAACAGTTATGGAGGAAATGGATGTAGCTTTCTTTCTAAAAGAGCCTGACCTTCTAAAATTTCAGTTAGAATTTTTTTTGAGTTTATAAAAGTACCTCTAACAAGTTAATTGAATATTTACAATTTTAGCTTAAATTTAAATTTTGGAAAATAAACATCTATTAAGTTGTTTTTATTTTAAGATCTTGGGCTGTTTATTAAGACTCTAATATGAATGCCGCTTATTTAGATAACCTCCAATAGTAAAAGAAATGCTTTGTAATTATATTTAGGGAAATCATTTTCTTTCTGCATTTTCAAAATTATATATACAATGTACAGCAGATCTAAGTATGAAAATAAAAGAAAGAGTAGCAATCTATTAGGTGCCTTTACTGAATTTCTTCTGAATTTTGGAAATATCCAAAGAGTTACAGGCTATAAAATTTAACTAAAAAGGATTATCAGCCTTTTCTACTTTAAAAAAAAAACCTCGAGATGTAAATTGTGCTATAACAGCTTTTTCTCTAATGTTAGAGTTATGCCTACAGTCTGCATTTTCCTTAGGCAAAATCACAGTGGTCCCAGTTTCAACTTCAATCACAACTCCAGAGGTACACCCCATGGAAGGCCAGGCCTGTGCCCAACCCCGCCTGCTGTATCTCCTCCCCGCATCTGGCAAATGTCACCCAAGGAAAGCAAATCGTATAACCTTTCATACAACAAAAAGCAAATCAATGCTGGCAGTATAATGTTTATTAGCAAAAGCTCGTAACACACTGGTTTGCTATCTTCTCTTCATCAGAATGGTAATGCACACCAATTGTCTTAAGTTGCCTCCAATAATATCCATTTTTATAGTTCTCTTCTGTTCGATCATATACATATATATATATATATATATATATATATATGGATTTTCTTCTTCCACCTTTAAAAATGTATAGTTTTTAATAAATGGTCAATTCCAAATACTGCCAGGGAAAAAGAGACTGGAAGCAGCCAATTTTGCCGGCCGGGCAATAATCACATCGTATATATGTACCGCTGGTACCTGAGTCAAATAAATACTCAGAGGAGCCATCTGGGCACCTCCTTCCTCTGCAGTGCCTTTTACGCTAGGGTGTCTGAGTGTCGCTTCAATGTCCATCTAACTTGGCATCTACTCCTTCTTCGGGAATCACCACTTCAGTCATTTACACACTCTTTCCAGCAAGGCATGGTATTCAAATGGGAGTCCCCGGGTAAAGGACTGCAGGTGAGCCTACGGGTGGGGCGGGGAAGGAGAAACCACACATTAGCTAGAGAGGTTCTGTTTCTTCCTAAGATAAGGCACTGACAGAAAATTTCTTAGGTAAAAGGCTGCGTAAGAATCCCTCGCCATTTACAAACAGAAAGGTCGTCTTCCATAAGTGGTGCGTATCTAGGCTCAGTTAGGTAGACCCTGAAAAGTTAGGGACTGATCCCTCGAAGCTACATTATTACCAGGAACAATTATAATTCACTCTGAAGCCTTGTGGCATGTTAGGGGAAAGGGAGGAGAACAGTCTGGGCACAAAAAAGGCATCAGACATTGCTTGTTTTATTCCACTGGTCAAAGTAAGTGGAGCGCTCAACAAGCATCATCAGAAAGATAGTGCTGGCTCAGAATTCCAAATCCTGTCGATGGTAGATGGCCATGATGATGGGTGTATCTCTTTTTCCCCCCTTTGGAGTTCATGCACAATTTTTAAAAATGCTACCAGCAACAGTCTTAAAGAGCATATACAAGTCCTCACCTATGGCTATGCCTAAGGCTCTTCAAAGAGAAGGCTATTTAATATTCTCAATGACAGCAATTTCCTCGCCTGCACAGTGTGGCGTCAATCCGTTCAAATAGATACTTTCAGTTTTCAGTAAAGGAGGCAAGACGTCCCTCTCCGTGGCTAGGTGGTTCACGGACAGGGTCCTCCTACAAGGTGTCAGCTCCTGGTTGTGGTTCCCAGCCAGTTCTGCGGAGAGCTTCCGCTTAATCGAGGTGGCACGCTGGAACTTGTCATAAATCTCCACACTCAGCCGCCTCCTGGTTTCCTTGAACTCAGCCGTGACGTTGGCTGTCCATTCAGCAGCATGGGCTCTGAACTCTCCCACCTGGAGCACATAGGCAGAGACAAGGCAAAGAGAGAAACGAACAGGATGGTCAACAAGTGCGCTTCACCTTTTGATCATTGGCTTTGGTGGGGTTTAAAAAGAAGACTAGGCTGTTGTCCTACTGGAGGTTTAAGATTTGGTGTAATAAGGTCAGATGTGCAGAGCAGAATGGCATTTTACATGTAGATACAGCTCTAAAAAGGAATCTGTGAACATAAACTCTTTCAATCAAATTATGCAAGAGGTACAAAATGTGCTTGTTTTTTGTGTATGGATCCTGTGGTTGAAACTTCTGAAGCTATAAAAAGAATAGCATTCTCTAACCTCATAAAACTTTGGGTGATTTTTTTTCACCTGTAATTTCAAGAAGTCTTTGGATACAGACTAGGCACCAGAAGCAGCAGGGCAGAATAAAAGCCCAGACTGGGTGACCTAGTCGGTTCTGACAGCTTCGAACCTGGCTGCAGCATGAGATGCAAATTCAGGGGTTAGAGACCAGGAGTGGTATGTACAGGAACTGGTATCCAGCCCCAGAGTGCTCACTTAGCAAACTGTTTACGAAATAAACACGAAAATATCTTGGTTTTGCCTTTAGGGGAAGCAAATGAGAGCCGGCAAGTCGTTTGAGGCCCGTTTTAGAAGACAAGTGAGTCCAAGGAATCATTTCTCAGCACATGCCTGTGGAACTGGAACTGGGGAAGTTAGGCACTTGGCCTGTCTGAGCTCTCATTTCCTCTGCTGTATATAGAACAGGCATCTGCACAGCACACACCTACCAGGACGGCTGGGCTAAAGGACTTCGCCCCCTTGTAAGAGCCTCTGTAGTTATTGTTGTGAGCTTGCCTTTTAAGGCTTAAAGAAAAAAAATACTGCCAAGGCTTAAGCATGTGCATCATGTTTTCTCTGACTTCTATAAAGTTATGTCTGCACTTTTGTGACTTAAATAGAATAATGACTAACCCCCTGGAAAATGTTATAATCCTTTCCTTAACCAACTAGGCTTCAACACTGTAGACGGGTTGCTAGGAGCATCCCCCACTGTGGAACAAGCTCCCATTCCCTCTGTGGCTGGCCTTTCTGCTTTCAGCCCAGGGAGCCCCACTGCACTCATTTAAAAAAAATGAAAGATTTTATTTATTTACTTTTAGAGAGAGGGGAAGGGAAGGAAAAAGAGGGAAACATCAATGTGTGCTTGCCTCTCGCACGCCCCCTACTGGGGACCTGGCCTGCAATCCAGGCACGTGCCCTGACTGGGACTTAAACCCACAAATCCTTTGGTTCCCAGGTTGGCACTCAATCCACTGAGCCACATCAGCCAGGGCTGAACTCATTTTTTAAGCCAATAACTATAGGTCTGTTTCCATTCTGTTGTTTTAACCTCCGTTGATTTTTGTTTCAAACTTTGGTATGAGGAATATAACAGATGGTTTCTGCTACAGTCTGAATGTTGGTACTCCAATCCTTTGTTGAAATTCAAACCCCAGAGGTGATGGTATTAGGAGGTAGAGCCTCTGAGAGGTGATTAATTCATGAGGGTGGAGACCTCAAGAATAGGATTAGTTCCTTTAGGAAAGCAGCCCGAGAGAGCTCCCTAGCTCCTTCCACCATGTGAGGACACAGCCAGAAGACTACCTACCGACCGGTTCAGTCAGGCTGGTTCTGTGATCCTGGACTTCCAGCCTCCAAAGCCATGAGAAATAAATGTTTGCTGCCCAATCTGTGGTATTTGGCTACAGCAACCTGATCAGACCAAGTCAGATTCTAAATATTTATGCTGAAGATTTAAATTATGAGAGGGGATATCCAGGTACATATATGTCAACATGTGTACATATATATATATTTGGATAATCATAGATGTGTGTGTGCACAACAAAATAGAAACTGTGCAAATATCTTTGAAAGGCAGCACAAAGCAGATCAGCTCTTCCTCATCCATCCGTAATCACGTACACACACACCTGATCTCCTTTTCTATTTTAAAGAGGTCTTTTATTTTCTACTTGTATTCTCCTAACAAGAAATAACTGCTTGTTCTCTGCATCTGAGGTTGAAAAAGGCAAAGCTGGAAAAGCAAAAACATCATCGCTCATGTAATTGGCAAGATCAAGCATTGCGTAATCACTGAGGCAACTGCTAGGAAACCTGCAGAGAAAGATGGACTAACTGATAGCGATTTCACCCAGACGGACAGAGCATGGTGGCTACCAGAGGGAAGGGGATGGGGCAGGACAGTAAAGGGTCAAGGGGGCCAAATATATGGTGATGGACGATGATTTGACTTTGGGTGGTGAGCACATAATGAAATGCACAGACCATGTATCGCAGAAATGAACACTGGAAACCCACATCACCCTATGAATGAATGCCACCTGAATAAATTTAATAAAATAAAAAATATCAATTATCAAAAAATAAGTGTACAGCAATTTAGCCTGAAGCTTCTCACTGCTCCTGTAAGGGCCCCTGTCCCACTATTCTTAGGTATGGGAGAGATTTTTGAATGTTTCATTCTGCTTTTCAGGGGCTCTTTGGCTAGAGAAGCACGGGCTGTATTAATCAGTGGTGAGAAACACCTAATCAACCCATAAACATTTATAAATAATTCCTGTCCCAACCATGTGTGTTGTTTTCCTGTTTACTACCCTGCCTTTCTTTTTTTTTAAAGATTTTATTCATTTATCTTTAGAGGGGAAGGGAAGGAGAGAGGGAGAGAAATATCAATGTATGGTTGCCTCTCATGTGTCCCCTGCTGGGAACTGGCCTGCAACCCAGGCATGTGCCCTGACTAAGAATCAAACCGCAATTCCTTAGTTCGCAGGCTTGCGCTCAATCCACTGAGCTACACCAGCCAGGGCCCACCCTGCCTTTCTGTTTAGGTACGAGTTCTGGAGTTCAGAGTCTGTACCGTATTCATTGGTATATCTGCTACAGAGAGGTGCCTCCGTGGAAACTCGCTGAAGTGCACCATTAACAAATGAACACTATCTGTACAGTTTTGAAATCATGTCTTTAATATACAGATTTAAGGATTTAGTTGCATCTCTACCAGTTTCAATTTAATTTTAAAGACTTACAATAGCAGCCTTCTTAAAGACTGTGCTCAAAGACAGAAAACCTAACTAATATGGTCATGAACAGAAGTTATTTTCAAATATGTTATTAAATTCTAGTTTACACTACAAGCAGATAATCCTGAATGGGGTGAAATTTGCACTTTACAATAAAAGGATAATTATGAATGAAAAAGTTAAAAATCCCCCAGACCTTTCCTTTCATCTTACCAATGATTTCGTAATAAAGGAATTGACCTATTTTATCTGAGAATTCAGATATTTCTAAATGTAAAAAGAACAAAGGTCAATATACTTTTTTTTCTAGTACAAGGTTTTCCTAGTAGTGAGGGCAATAAAATAAAGGGAACAGGAAAGAACCTACATTTTTTTCTTTAAGTCAGTGTCTGTGAAAAGTACAAGAACCAGCTAGTATATTCCACTTCCTCCCACATACCAGTGATGACCAAAGCCAATCAGCACTGGCCCCGAAGACACCTGTCTGAGGAGGCCCCACACCAAAGCTCAAGTCTTGGGGGCTGTTAGAGCTGACGGGCCTACGATGAGCTCGACTCTGGTGGTTTTATTCTGGTTACCAGTCTTTCACCACCATGACCAGAAAGGCTACTGACGTTCCCTGGCTTTGCCTCCCTTTTCTTTGGTAATGGTCTCCTATTATTTTTTTTAACCTTAAAAATGTCTTCTTAGTATTCATAGTAATAGATTTGCTCATCCAAAATTCAAATGTTAATCTACTTAACGGCAGATTTTCTATCTCCTCTAACTAGAATTAAAGTTCTATGTGTCTCCTCAGCACCTAGAATATACCTGGTACGCAGTGGACTTCTAACAAAACATCTGTTAAGTGAATAAACACATCGCCGATGATGAATGTTCTCTGGAATCTCGCACCTCAATGGTACAACTTGCAATAGTGTAGCACAGACTGCCAATTGGTTTTCTTCTCTATATACTAACCTTAGTTTCTTCCTCCTCCACTTGATTATCATTAATATTTTTGCAAAAATAGCCTTATAATAAACACATCATTTTGGAAATGGCTCCCCTCAACCAATTTTAGTCTTTTTTCCCTTGTTAGTACCCATTATTCGACCTCACGGTCACATCAGCAGCCTAGCATTCCACAGGATAGATACAGCATGCTACAACTGATGGACTTTGGGGTCATTTGTTGTTGTTGTTGTTATTAGGTTATGGTTTTTTTTTTGCTATTGGTAATAAAACTTTAGTGAATATTCTTGCACCCTTATCTTTGCTAATGTGTCCAAGAACTGCTAGAAGTATAAATGCTGGTTTGAAAGATGAATATTTTCAGATTTGGAGGACACTGAAGTTTCCCTCTAATTCGCAGTTTTCGTACTCAGGGTTTTCTGTAGCCCTGACAACCTCTGTCTTTTCACAGAAAAGAGAATCTGATTATTGGCACCTACCCAGAAAATTCTTTAAATATTTTAATAATTGCAATTTGAAATGTAAGTGGTCATGATAAATTGGGCAAAGAATAAAAACCTTCCTTAGACTTGATCTGAATTTTTCTCAGGAAGCCAGTTTTCACAAAGCCACCACGATCCCTTAGGTCGCACTAATGACACCCACAAAGCTTCCTGCAGAGCCAAGTGCTTCTACAAATTAGTGATTCCTGCAAATTAGGAAAAGGCTGAATGCAAGGGAAGCTCAGACTTGTCTGAGTCCATAAACTTCTTTAATTTCTTATGTTTAATTGCATTCAATCTCTGGAAGCATCTGGTATTCTCATCCACTTTGGGGGACATGTTTTTTCCCCTAATTTTTCCAGCATCCCCAAGAGTGGAAAGTTAAGTTCTGGAAGTCATGAGGGTTGTAGCCGAAAAAGTCAAAAACCGGGGTGGGAGGAGCTTAGCAGAGGTGGGGAGGAGGGATGAGAGCTTCCAGTTCTATCACTCACAT